TTATTAATTGTATATAATATTTGGGCATTTCCGATCACTTTGCAAGGTAGAAAACTGATTGTATGTCTATTTCGATTATTAATTGTATCCGTTTAATTCCCTTCAAATGACATCAAAGAGAAAAGTATCTGACCGTGAAATGCATAACATTTAGGAATTTCCGAGCAGTTCGTCATGTAGAAAACAATTTGTATCTATCTCAATTACTATTCGTATCAATTTAATTCATTTCAAGCACCATCAAACAGGAAAGTATTTGACGAGGCATTTAAAGCGAATGCCATAATTAGTTAGCAATGTAAGGATCGCAGTGGCAAAAAAGCGAAAATATGCGCATCCCAATACCGCCAAATCATAGTGCAGATTTTCGTCAAGTTCCTAATATATTACTTGGCGAGACATACACAAAACCTGTACATTATTGATAAAAATAAATGGTACCATATTTATCACATGAAAATGGCTTGTGTTCCGTTGCTGTCCAAACTTGAACTATACAATTAAAGTCTTCGTTTAAGTTGTTGTTTAAAACGCTATTTGGCAATGGTATTTGTTTTCTTCCGGCCAGTGATTGGTCCGTCCTTCTCTCCTCTCCTTCTCTTCGTCTTCTCCTTCCTTCCTTCCTTCGAGCCGTTATCGATCCTTTTCAACTCGAGTTAACTCTATTTGGAACAGCTGCGCCTTTGTTTGGTAAAGAAACACAACCGAGCTTTACGTTAATGATCGAATTGGCAAAGTCATTTCGCATTCTGTTCCCAACCTCAGTTTTAGTTCCTGTCTTATTCCGTCCGGTCCTGGATATTCCGTTTCGTTGTTCAGGGACAGTGAATTATAAGCACGCGGCAAGACGCTACCCAACCACCCAATTCCCAAACCTCCTTGAGACGGGCCAAGGACCTCCGACACCCTTTCACCCTCTCCCTCGCAGAAATCAGGACGAAAATGAGTACAAAAGCATAAGAACGTCTCCCTCTCTCTCTCTCTCTCTCTCTCTCTCTCTCTCTCCACCATCAGCTCCTCCCGCAGAAATTAAAGTTGCTGATCCCCTTCCACGCTCCCGAAGAGGCGAAGAGCAAGCCCCGGATGTGACGTCGCGCGCTCATTGGTCAGTTTGAAGTCAGTGTTCGTTAAGAGAGAGATTTGAAACGTCTCTCTTTAGATATAATCGAATGGCTTTGTTATTATTTTCTCCATTTCCTATTGAGAGAACGGATTGGGATTGTCAGTTTATATACGTTATTGTAGATGGTGTTGGTAGTGTGTTAAGGTCATTTGATCGCAGAGAACTGAATCAACAACGGTAAAGGAATTATGTCCTGCCGTGGCCGCTCTGTGACTCGACTCCATATACTGTCATCACAGCAGTAGCGATGTTGTTGTTCATACGACCGCAGCTGCTATGAACATTGATGGTGTAATTCCCTTTGATTTGAACACTGCACTGTTAGTGGTTATTACCTCCGAGCCATTTCACTGTTGTTGACAAATTGACTTTGTTTTTTGAAGTACGGACGCCGCTTGCGATGACGGTGTTGGATTCGACATTAACGGAAATAACGACCATATTATTTCACAAAAACAACATTTTCATAAATAATGTGGCCGGTGTAACACTACTGGTATCAGTTTGTGTGGGGAAATTTTGTGAAATTGTTTGCATCAGTTTGCAACAGAAGGAAATAACATGGAAAATTTATCCACAAAACACTTTCGGAAATTGTATTATGTCAGCGCGTTGTTGTGTCGTTTGGAATCAGTAAATGTCTTCACGTTTCGTTCATTTTTTTCTTAATGTGTGCATGTTCGAGAGAGAGGGAAATGGGAAGCCGAGAGAGAAACCGAGAGAAATTATTTTATACACGCATGTAAAATGAATAAGCTTTACACATACAAATATATATATATACATATATATGTATATATATATATATATATATATATTATATATATATATA